TTTACTTTATTTGATAGTCAACCCTAAAAGATTTTTAAACACTGAATTCATCAAATCACATAAGAAAAGTCACAAAGAAACACTAAACAAACAATTGATTTCAACATTATTACGTTCTTCAAGATTATAACTTTTTACAACTAAAAATACAAGAAAAGAATGAAGTGAAGCCCTAATATATGTATATACTTAAGGATAAAGTAGTAATTTCATTAATTCTTATTGGATTATCGGTTAACCCATTAACAAAATTGGCAAACAGAGGCCCAAATCGATAACCCAATAGTGAAAAAATTCTAAACGGTTATCGAATCGTTAACCCAATAACCTAATACCGATAACCCAATAAATAACTAACCATTCGGGTTATCGGTTTTACACAATATATGTCCAGCCCTACCTTCCTGTAATGGATGCTATCCACAGTGCAGCACAGCTTTTTGACAAAAGGAATATCACAAACTGTGATCAATTCTTCAGCATTTTCCCTTTTAGAGGACAAATTATCCATAAAGTGATGTATTAATTATTTAAAATTTTGGTTTAAAGTCTTTGCTATTGGCTAAAAGATGCCAAATTTGAGAACAGATGAAATTGTCCATAAGAATACAGGGAGAGGTGAAAATATTAGAACTCCAAAATATATATATGACTAGCTTGATCAAACCATGTCCAACTCTATCAACTTCTATGAGTTTACATTCTACACATTGAGAAAAAAACAATATATATTTCACAATTATATCACTTAAAAACTATTATTACAAATAATTCTCTTGATTAGCTAGTGACTCGGAAAAATGGCATGTAAAAAGTGTTAGAAATTAATTTAGTTCTGCTTAAGTAGGGTATTCAAGTATAAGCCAGAAAAGAGTTATCGAATTCCACGAGGGTAGCCACTTTCTTCTTTGACCCAAATAAGCATCACACAAAGAACAAAAAATGAAAGAAAAAAGAAGTGACTTAAAAGAACAAGCTGAATGAGTTAATAAGATTATTCATACTACTCCCTCCGTTTACTTTTACTTGGCACGTTTTGACTTTTTATGCCCCTTAAAAAAATAATAAATGAAATGCATAATGTAGACTTCCCCATCCTTGTGAAACAAAATCAGAAATGCTAACAATATATAACCTAAATAGACAATATTCAATCGAGTGAACAGCCTTATGCTTTCTGTGGCAATGGCACTGTTGGCACTACCATACAAACTTTATGCTTTACTCCTCACTAATAATCTTTTCAAAAATAAGACAGTAATCGATAGGTGATAAATGAACACCAGACAAATAAATAGTGCATGTTAATCGCAATCAAATAAATATATATCAGTAGGCAGACCATCTTGGTTCTTTTCAATTGATGTGTAGTTTCTTCGCTTCAAATTACTTTGCTCTCCTATCCTACTTGAATATTTTCCGGCAGATAAGTTTGCTGACTCTAGTCGAGAATATTAACCATGGAATGATTCCCACCTGCAATTACATTACACAAGTTAGCCATAACATTGTTCAAACAAAAGATAGGCAGCTTTGGAAATGGACGTAATTAATGAATACTGGCTTAAGATCATATCATATTGGCACATTCAACCAAATAGAAGTTGCAAAATGAATCAACAGAAAGTAAGAAAAATTAACAAAGACTGAGATCTTCAGAACTCTCAGGGTGTGTTGGGTACCAAGGAAAACATTTTCCAATTTGCCCATGTTTGGTTGGTTTAAATGTTTTAGAAAACATTTTTCTTATCAACTTATTTTCCTCCCATTGGAGGAAAATGTTTTTCTTATCAAGAGAAGGTAAAACATTTTCCAAAACTCCTTCTCAACCTTCCCCACCCTCACCAACCTACCCCACACCCACCCACCTAACCCCATGCCTACCCACCCCACCCCTGTCCAGAAATTAAGTGAGTACATCCTTCTCTTTGAGTTGTCGTAAAAGACAAATAATGGGTTTCAAGCCTACGAGAGTCAACCTATCAAAACAGTGCTTCTCCCAACATTCTATTTGGCCAAGCTTATTTTTCAGTCAAAAGTGCTTTTTTAGCCATAAGTACTTTTTTGCCAAAATTAACATGTTTGGCCAAGTTTTTTGAAGGAAAAAAGTGCTTTTGAGTAGAAGCTGAAGCACTTTTGAAGATGTGAAATTGAGCTATGTAAATGAGATCTGAACCTTAGTTCTTAGAGAAGAAGAAGAAGAAGAGAAGAAGATCTGTTATTCGTTATTGAAGAAATGAGCTGAAGACCCAGCTATATACAATTCCCTCACTTCTCACACGTGCACCTCACATGCCTAACTAACTTGTGTAACTAACTTCTTAACAGCTCATTAATCACAAACAACAGCTCACTAGTCTTTTAACTGCTCTGCTTCTTATTCTATTACTACCCCTAGAGCTGGAGGGTAAAAGACATCGAGCACTCCTAGCTTGTACAGGAGAAGCTGATGCTGGCCAACTCCTAAACCTTTAGTGAGGAGGTCTGCAAGTTGAGCTTGTGTAGCAATGTATTTAGTTTCAATAAGCCCTTCTTTCACCTTTTCTCGGACAAAATGACAATCTATGTCTATAAGCTTGGCGCGCTCATGAAATGTTGGGTTTGCTGCAATTTGGATAGCTGCTTTGCTATCACAATGAAGTTGGATTGGTCTGGAGATAGGCATACTTAAGTCTTGCAGCAATCCAACTAACCATATAACTTCTGCCACACTAGCTGCTATGCTGCGATACTCAGCTTCTGCTGAACTTCGACTAACAGTGTGTTGCTTCTTTGACTTACATGAGATTAGAGAATCACCCAGCTTAATGACATATCCTGTGAATGACCTCCTAGTGTTAGGACAAGCTGCCCAATTCAGAGTCGCAATAGGCTGTCAACTGAGTGGCTGAGTTCTGGCTTAGAAAAACCCCTAAACCAGGACTACCTTTGATGTATCTCACCACCCCTAATGTTGCTTCCCAGTGTGACCTCTTTGGATGCTGCATGAATTGACTGAGTACCTGAACTGTGAAGCAAATATCTGGAAATGTGATGGGGAGGTAAATCAGTTTGCCCACCAATTTTTGATAATTGCACATGTCTTCAAGCAAAGGGTCATCAGCAGCACCAGTCACTTTGTCTAGTTCAGCTGAGTTAGTCTGGTATTGGCTTCAAGTGGTATTGTAGCTGGCTTTGCACCACTGAGTCCAACATCAGAGATTAGTTCTAAGGCATACTTTCTCTGATTGAGAAGTATCCCTTGCTTTGATCTCAGTACTTCAATTCCTAAGAAATATTTGAGTTCTCCAAGATCTTTGACTTTGAAATTGCTGTGCAGGGTCTTCTTGGCTTCTTCAATGAGGTCCTTATCACTCCCAATAATGAGTAGATCATCAACATAGATTAAAATGATCACAATACGTCCTCTCTGTTTAGTGAACAAAGAATGATCATGAGGGCTTTGACAATATCCTGCTTGCAACAAGACAGTAGTTAGCTTGATATTACATTGCCTCGATGCTTGTTTGAGGCCATATAAAGATTTCAAGAGCTTGCACACCCTATACTCCCCCTGCCTGTGAAAACCTTGAGGAAAATTCATATAGACCTCTTCATATAAATCTCCTTGAAGGAAAGCATTATTAACATCCATTTGGTATAAAAACCAGTTCTTTGAAGCTGCCACACTAATGATTGTTCTGACAGTGACCATTTTTGCAACCGGTGAGAAAGTTTCATGATAGTCTAGCCCTTCTCTTTGTGTGTACCCCTTTGCTACCAAGCGAGCTTTGTACTTGTCTATCTCCCCATTGGCCTTGTACTTGATTTTATGTACCCACTTTGACCCTATAGTCTTCTTTCCAGCAGGTAGCGGAACTAACTCCCAGGTTTTGTTCCCTTCTAATACATCAATCTCATGTTGCATTGCTTGAATCCAATTGTGATCACTAGAGGCCTCCTTGAATGATCTGGGCTCTGTTGGTATAGAGAAGGAGCCTAAGTAAGCTTGATAGGAGGGGTTAAGATGAGTGTAGGTCACATAATGGGATATAGGATAGGAACAATGTGCCTTTGGCTTGACAGTAGTGATGTAGTCACTAAGCCAAATTGGAGGTCTGATTGTTCTGCTTGGTCTCCCATGAGTGTGTTCTTCAATAGAACCATGTTGCTCATGATGTTGATCTGCTTGATCTTCTGTTGTTAACTCAACTGGTTGAGTTACAGCTTGATCAAATCCTGTAGCTGCAGGAGCTTCAAGTGTCTGTGGTTGATCCACTGCATCATCTGAGTCCAATAATGTATCTGGGAGATTAGCATCATCTGTGTCCAATGCTGCATCAAAAGGATCAGGTGAATCAATGGCTGAACTTTCCACAGCAGGTGCTGCTTCTCCTGGTTCAGGTATTGGTTCTGCACTAGTAGGATGTTGTTCATGAGTACCTCATGCAGGTGGCTGAATTATACCTGCATTTAAGGTCTCTTTAAACAGAAAAATGTCACATAATTCTTCTTGAGTCCCAGTTTTAAAAGGGAACAGTGATTCCTTGATCTGAACATCTCTGCTAACAAAAAATTGATGATCTTCAAGATCATATAACTTGTAACCTTTTTGAGTTTCTGAATATCCCACAAATACTATCTTCCTAGCTCTTGATGTGAATTTGTCACCTCTAGGTAACCTGCTTGCATAGCAGAGACACCCAAACATCTTTAAATGAGATAGTTAAGGTACCTTATCATGCAATAACTCAGATGGTGTTTTTCCTTACAGCACTGTGGATGGCAACCTGTTGATCAAGTATACAGCAGTTCTTCCAAAATTTTATAGGCATTGAACTTTGAAAGGTTAATGCTCATGCCACCTCTAGTATCTGTCTATGCTTCCTCTCCACAACTCCATTTTGTTGGGGAGTGTACGGACAACTGCTTTGATGAATCACACCATAGGAAGCAAGAAGCTCATTACATTTTGAATTAAAGAACTCACTACCATTATCACATCTAAGGATTTTAATATTCTTGTCAAATTGATTCTTTATTAAAGCAAAGTTCTTCAATACTACAAACACTTCACATTTAGATTGAATCGGACATATCCAAGTGTATCTGCTGTAATCATCCACTATGGTAACAAAGTAGTGCATTTTATCATATGTAGGTTTTCTGTATGGACCCCATACATCTAGATGCATCAATTGAAAAAGGCTACTTGATCTACTGTTGCTATTAGGAAATTTTAGTCAGCTTTGTTTTGCCAAGGGACAAATTTCACAGATCCTAATAGTTCAGCATCTACTTTATTCTTGACATCTACAATGTGTTGTATTGCTCCAATAGAAGGATGCCCTAGTCTCCAATGCCACAGCTTTCCACTATTGTCCTCCTTATGAATTGTTGCTCCCATTGCAGGTTTTATTGCCTCTTGCAATATGTACAATCCTTCCTTTTCTTAACCAATCCCCAGAACCTTCCCATTGTGGAATCCCTGAAACACACAAAAATCAGGAAAAAACAAAAGCCACACAAGAAAGTTGTTTTGGTTATCTTGGACACTGAAAGCAGATTAAACTTGAAATCTGGCACATGTAGTACATTCTCGAGCATATAGCTTCCTAAAATCATTGCATCTCCTATACTTGTGATTTCTGCTCTACCACCAGTAGGAACTTGAAATCTACTGCTATTTTGATCTCTCGGTGTTCTAAAAGTAGTCAGCAACTCCTTATATGGTGTAATATGATGTGATGACCCTGTATCTATTATCCATTCACAAGCAAAGTTGTTGGATAACAGTGAGGTCATACCTGCCATGTTACCTGCTATATTATCTGCATTGTCACTGGATGTTGGCTTGTTCAGCATATTCAGTATCTGCTGATACTGTTGTTCAGTAAAGAAATGACCTTGTGCCTTTGATGAATTCATGTTTTCTCCTACAACTGTAGAATTGGCAAAAGGTCTGAATCTGCCAGATTGTGCCCTTTTCTTCTTGCTCTTAAAATCCTGTGGGTAACCAACAATTTTCCTTAAGTGTCCCTTGTATCCACGATGCTCACAGATTACACTAGGCCTTTTAGGCTTCAAAACTTGATGTGTTATTCCTGCTAACATTGTCAATGGATCCTTATTCACATCTACCACACCTAGTAACCTTTGACTTTCCTCTTGAGACACTATTTCATAGGCTTCATTTACCGACACTATAGGTCTCCTTGCTAGTAGATTACTCTAGGATTCATTAAGTCCCATAAGGAACTGCAACAACCTTTGTGATCTCACGTGTACAACATAAGGTAAAGATTCCTCACAATCACAAGAAGGAAGTGGAGCTAAGACATCTAATTCATCCTAACAATCCTTTATTTTAGAGTAATATGAAGTAACAGAGTCAGTGCCCTGTCTCTAGGTAGCGATTTCAGTCCACAAATGAAATATCCTAGTCAAATTCGATCTATCAAATCGCTCCTCAAACTCACTCCATACCTTCTTAGCATTGGATGCATACACGATACTAGCCATCAATTCTGTCGCGACAGTGTTTCCTATCCATGACAGAACGATAGCGTTGCATTTCTCCCACTGCTCTGCCAATTCTCCTCTATACATACTTTTGGCACAGGTTCCATCCATAAAACCTAATTTTCCTTTGCCTCGAAGAGCCGATTTCATTGCTCTACTCCACAGAGTGTAATTATTTGGCCTTGTGAGTTTGAGCAGAATTAGGACTAGCCCAAGCGCATCTCCAGCTTGAGGATACAGCGGATGATTGTGGTTAAGTGACATTACCTCATTTCCAGCCATTTTTACTGAGATCTGACCTTCCTGTTCTTCTGCAACTCACAAAATTGCACAAATCTGTGCTTGTTCTTCTGCGAATATCGAATTTACAGTTTCTCAGAGCATCGAAGTTACCCGCTCTGATACCATGTGAAATTGAGCCATGCAAATAAGATCTGAACCTTAGTTCTTAGAGAAGAAGATCTGTTATTCGTTATTGAAGAAATAAGCTGAAGACCCAGCTATATACAATTCCATCACTTCTTACACGTGCACCTCGCATGCCTAACTAACTTGTGTAACTAACTTCTTAACAGCTCATTAATCACAAACAACAGCTAACTAGTCTTTTAACTGCTCAACTGCTTCTTATTCTATTAGAAGAAGCAGAAAAAGGTAGCTTCTCTCCAAAAACACTTTTTTTGAAAAGCGCTTTTGAGAAAAATACATTGAAAAGCACTTTATAAAAGCTTGGTCAAATACGAACTGTTGCTTAAAAGTGCTTTACTGCTTTTCAAATTAATTAGCCAAACACAAACTACTTTTCACCAAAAGTACTTTTTGAAAAGCCCTTTTGACAAAGAGTGTGTCTGGTATAACAGAAAATAATTTTCGTGAAAAATGTTTTCTTGGAAAACAAGTAGTAATCTAATTCATTTTCCGGTGTTTGGTACGCAAATTAAGAAAAATAAATTCTCGAGAGTATTCATAAATAATTTAGATATAATAAACATGAAGCCATAAACTTTCGAATCCACAGATTTCATAAACTTCCAAACCGCAAAACTTTCAAAACTGCGAAATTTCAAACCCGTAAACACCCAAACGCATAAACTTCTGAACTCATAACTTTGGAACTTGTAAAATTTTGAACCTTTAAACAAATTTGAAATTGCAAAAAAGAAAAATAAGGTAAAAAAATAATTTTTTTTGCCGGGGTGGGGTGTAGGGGTAGTAGGGTGGGTGGTAACAGAAAAACTAAAATTTGAAAAGAAAAAAAAAGCCTTTTTGGAGAGAGAGAGTGGGATGAGTTGGTGAGGGTGGGGAAGGTTGAGAAGGAGTTTTGGAAAATGTTTTCCTTTTTCTTGGTAAGGAAAACATTTTACTCCATACCAAACACACCCAAAAGCATTTTTCAAAATAAGTAGATTTTAGAAGCATGGCCAAACAGGCTAAGACTCACACCCAAGACTTAAGCTCGTTACTACTTCATATAGTCACAGTTCTCCGAAAAAAGAAATTTCCAATGAATGCTAAATCCTCAAGGTAATTACCATGACGTTTTCATTCACATGACCTCCAGCTCGCCAAGACAATATCTTACCTGCAACGTGGAAGGTTATAGAAGATATCAGTTTCAAACATGCAAACAAATTAAGGCGGTGAAAGCAATTAAATGTGTATTGTGTCCACCTGTCACATTGAAAGGCACAACATAGCAGATTAGTGAATATGAATTTCAAGACATGCAGGTGTCGAGAAACCAAGCATACTAGAGGATAACACATTACCAAAAGGTTGCACGAGCTGCTTAGGTATGGAAGCCACAGGGATACGCCAAAACCATATAATCAGCAACAAGTACATTAGAAACTGTGTGATCAGCAGCTGATTAATTATCTTACAGTTAAAACAAAGGCTGCAAAAGTCTTGACTACCAAATTAAAGATTGCATGCATTACCTTTAAGATAATCAGGGTCTTTGTGTGTGAATCATATGACGATTTCATTTCTTTTCTGAGTTTTTCATGATCTGTATGGCACCAAATGTAGTAATTGAGAGTAAACAAAAACATCAACACTAAACGTACCTCAATCGCAAACTAGTTAAGATAGGTTATATGAATCCTCAATATCCATCTGGATTAATCTTGTACCCAATAATTTGGATTTAACAACAAACTAAAGGTTTTTTCACTAGGGGATCTCTTTACTTTTTGACTGGCATACAAATCCAAAACAAACTAGAACACATTCGGCAGAAAAGGATGAAATGTTAGTCCACCAACATGACTAAACTATCATCCCAACTAGCTAATATCACCTATTTCATTCTTATGCATCCATTATGTTCTATTCTTTGCTAAATCCACATAGGTTTATAGGTCAAATAGTTTTAAGTCCTAACAATAGGCAGGTGTATTTGGTACTTCAATATGAGCTAATTGTTCATGGAGTAGAATACATTGTCAATGGAACTGATAATTTGCTCTGAGATGACTATAACAGCTATTATGCCATACTTTTTACAAGTTCCTGCTCCTTGGCTGCTGCCATCCTCCTTAGTTTGGCAGCTTGAGCAAACGTTGAAGGCCTGAAATCAATATGAAAACAACATAAAGTTTTACAAACCATAGATACTGTACAAAATTAGCATGATCTAAAAAGTGAATTATCAACAAATGGCAATTCTCATTTTCTTAGATAAAAGCCCAGAAGGAACAGAAGAAATACTAGTATTTTGGTTGGAAAATTACTATTATCAGAATTATCAGCAACCTACTAGAAATACTATTTTGGCTAATTAGACATCATAACTTTTACCATAACGGGGGAATTACAGATATCATTCATGTGTCTACTTAAACCTACAATTTTGGTTTGCACCATCTATCATTACTATCGACACATAGTTTTCCATTCAATATAGCTTGAAAAACTAATGATACTCCATCCTTTGCAATATGACACTCTTTCCTTTTTGGAACATTCAAAAATGTTAGACACCATTTTATTTTCATACACTTTTCACAACCTTCAAGAATTGAAATTTATTAAATAATTCAAGCTTTGAACTTTGATATAATATTTTCTTTATCAAACTAGATCTTCAACAATTACTTTAACATTTTCGTTCATCATCAATTTTACAATATAAAAGTCAAATTAAAATCTTAAACTCAACCGCCAGTAAAATATCAACATATAGAAGGATGTAATTTGTCACATTCATGGAGAAAATTATAAAAAGTAAATATTGGTCAAGATAAGCTTTAAATATAGTCATGTAGAAAAAAATATAACACTCTGTGCAGAGGTAGAACAAGAATTTTATTTCTATGGGTTCTCAATCACGTTTAACTACTGAATCCATCACCTTATTCGGGTTATGGGTTCATAGTTCAATATTTTCAACAATTCCAATGAATTTTACATAGATAACTCCAGATCTAGGCTAAAAGATTTGAACCCATAACTATACTACTGGATACGCCACGTGGAAAACTCCAAAACGAATTACAATAGAAGACGTTGAATTCCTACCCAAGACTACATAAATATTAGTTACTCGAACAATTGGAATCACTTACTGCGACATGGCATTCGCCTCCTTTAGCAGCTGCTTAATTTCTGCGCGCAATTGCAACTCCCCGGCATTTACAGAAACTCTCTGAAAACAAAGATTGTTATATTAGACATAAGACAGTAGCAAAACAATTAACTGTTTAAGAAAAAAGAGTAGGAGATTCATGATTTATCTACAAACGGATTTGTGTTAACTGGTGACAAATCAACCATTCAAATACTTGACAGCTCAATTAAAAACAACTTTCTCCATAGCAAATGAATATTCAGCAATTGATGGTATTTTCTGCGCGTGTGTATATATATGTACACAGAACACACAGTCTTTCACTTCCCAGACACTGAGACACACTGTACGTATGTATTCATATCTTATCATTGTGAAATTAACATAAACCAAACGAAAAATACCAAATGAGTTTTAAGTTATATACTTGTATAGAATCTTCTACACTATCAGGTCACACAGAGAATATCTACAGGTAAGTCTCTTAAAATGTTACCTGCTAACCTGATGGTGTAAAAAATTCTTACATCAGACTTAGAAAATAGGTGACAAAATCAAGAGTGTATGAGATGAGAAAGTACATCTCCATAAATTATAAATACACACTTATAATGTTGTACATGGATGCTATAATATACACACACATGCAGACATATACAGATATGTATCTAAACAGCAAATCATTGTAAAATTAACATAAACCAAATTTAAAAAATCTAAAAAAGAGGTGAAAATTAAGAAAAATACACTCATATTGATTTCGACATAGCGGGAGAGGTACTGAACAGCGACGACAATAAAGAATATCATCGGCGCGGCTACCGATCCTTCAAGTTTCACCATTGATTCTTCCATTTTCGCCTCTGAGGATTTTCCGCTCCAAGGGCTTTCTCCTGCTTAGCTATTTTGGCTTTGTGGATTCATGTCTGCTTCATTTTCGTTGCCTGTGCAGCCAATATGTCCGCAGATCTTTCGTGCTTTTTTCTCCAGTTTTCTGACACTTTTGGCTTTTGCCTTTTGTTTTGAAATTTTCATTATTTTTCTTGTCACGTATTTTAGATTACCTCTGAAAAAGTCAAAAGAAAAATGGCAAAGAAATTTGGGCCACTCGAAAATATGGCTTTGTAGAGTGGACAGTGAGAAATTCAAAAATAGCCACATTTACATGTGATCGTTCAAAAATAGCCACAGTTTCAAAGGTAACCGAAATTTAGCCATTTTTCATGTAAAGATAAATTTGAACGAAAATATTATTCAAAATCCGGAAAAATACTCCAGCATAATATATTGGAGTTCCAGTATAATATATCGGTCCAGCATAATATACAGGAGTTTGGAGCACCGGTGCTCCAGTCTCCAGTATATTATACTGGAGCCAGCAAAGTATATCGGTCCAGCATAATATGCTGGAAGTTCATACACAGGTGTACCGAACTCCAGTATTATGCTGGACCGGTCTTTGTTGCAGCAAAATAGTGGCTATTTTTCATTGACTTGGTAAACATTGGTTATTTTTGAATGATCAATCCAAAAACTGGCTAGAACGTGCTATTTTAACGAATGGACAGGCCCATTAAACTTGGATTGGTCCAAGTAGCCGCTTGTAGCATTTCTATTCAAAAAATATTCAGTTTTTTAAAGTTACTTAAAATTAATTAGTTTTGGCACACATTAGACTAATAGGCCAAACTTCAAAAATCTGTTAAGAAATTAAGCTTAAAGTAACAATATAAAACAAGATAATGAATATATAGAATAAGAGATAACTTTCTTATTTCATCAAGTGTTTAAGTGTATACAATATTATTTTTCATCTTCTATTTATAGTATTACATGGAGGTATGCAAAAGAATGTCATAAACATGGCATTAAGCATTTGAGATCATGGAGAAAGATCACGGGGAGGTTATGGAAGCATGGGAGTTACAACCATAAGTATTGGAGTAGTGGGAGTTATGGAGATAATGTGGAAAAGTAGTAGGTATTATTCCTTTGGTGGTTATGGATATCCACCATAATTTAATATTTTATAACACTCCCCCTTAGATGTCCATAGATAATGTGACTCGTTAAAACCTTACTAGGAAAAAACCCTGTGGGGAAAAAATCTCAGTGAAGGAAAAAAAGTACACATATCTAGTAATACGCATTACTTGCTGCCTCATTAAAAACCTTGACAGAGAAACCTAATGGGGTAAAATCTTAGCCAAGGAAAAAAGAGTACAATGCATATTTGTCTCCCCTGATGAAAACATCACTTTATTTCTCCGAGATGACGTGTTCCCATCCTGTATATCAACTTCTCAAATGTTGAGTTTGCTCATGCTTCATTTAGCAGAACCACCAAACTATCAAGTGAACAAATTTGTTGAACATCTATTTCACCGTTCAGTAAAAAATGTGTCTGATAAAGAACTTTGATGAAATATATAATTAATCATGTCTCCTTCAATATATCCTTCTTTCAATTAAGATAAGAAAATATCATCGTCTTCACTATTATTGGAATCTTCTCTGCAAAGAAAAGCCACACATCCGTTGTGTGTTGAGTCACTTGCTTTATCAGCTACTAGTATATTGACATGACTTGAATAAGCATCAACAATTGACTGCATTGTAAAATAATAATATGACAGTACCCTCACATACAAATAGATTGTTTGAAGAATGAACTTTAGAAAATATTTGCATTTGTTTAACCAACAAAACCTTGATAATATTTGTTAGATTAAACAAATCATATCAAAGATTCCTTTTTCAAAATAATACTAATAGTATTTCAATATCTTCATATAGGAATAAAATTATATCTCGCTCGCATATTGTTATACTCATGGTTCTAGCAAGATACATTAGTACACCACTTACAATAGACACAAGAATAAAGCATGTACACCCATGATTTCCAATCCACATAAGTATTTGTTGAAGCTTTATTTAATAAATTTCTTGGGAGCCTTAAAATGCTTCAGAACAGTTCAAATCCTTCAATGAATTTTATATACGCATATCAAAATTATTCAGGTATTGCCAGACTAAAATTTGAAAGCAACTGCTGATGTCGCCCAAACTCACACCACAAGTATATGTAGTAAGGCGGTCGAAGTAATAATAAATCCCAACATGAGTCAGGGTAGAATCCTCAGGGAGTTAGAATTGAGATTATGTATATTTAGTGCAATTGTGTGATGTGCCTCAAATTACTCTTCCACATTCTTATTTGTTGTTGTTTTTAATTCTACTATTGATTGAAAATATGAAACTAGGAGACAATATTTTTTTATTTTGGTTGTTTTTCAAATGGTAAAATATGTAGGGTCGTAACTTCCACCCAGGTGGTTACCTAATGGGTTGTAAATTCTAGGGCAATTTTGATTAGTCGAGGTTGTAGTACAGCAATCACACGTAATTACCCACTCTATACCTCTCGGTAGTTTGAGTGATTTTGCCCAATTTGGCCTTCTCAAGTCCAAATGGGTATTGCACAAAACAAGTGATATATGCTCAAGTTGGGTCATACTATCTCTAGGTTTGAACCTTTAATTGGGTCTATCAATTTCTCGAGTTCACCCCAATTTCTTGTTAGTCAAGTTTTCCTAGACTTAGTCTCTTTTTCTCAAGTAGAGACTAAGTCAAATAGGCGTGAATCAATATTTGCAACCATTGATTCTACAATTCAAGCATGAGCAAGGCTAAATATCACTAACCCAATCACAAAAAAGCCCTAAATCAAATACCCTTTAGGTACCCACACTAGGGTTGGGCCACAACCCTAGCTAGAAATTTAGCTACTCATAAAAATTGAAGAAATACAATAAGAATTTAAGATAGAATGCATAATAATTGATTAGAGAAAGAAAATCTAATGTTTAGACGCTAATCTAGTACAAAATTACTCAAAACAGTAAAGAAAACAGCTCAGGCGCTCTCCCAATACAAAACTTAACCTAAAAATAACAAAAAGTTCTATTTATACTAAGCTGAATATATCTGACAAAAATGCCCCTACAAAGGTTGTGCGGCCGCATAATTCTAGTGCGATCTGCACAATGAGCTTCTGCGGCCGCACAATTATCGTGCGGTCCGCATTCTTTGGAACTTGGGCTTGGAACTTTGGGGCTTCTGTGGTCTGCATAAAAATGAGTGCAGATGCGCTTCTGATTATGCAGTCGCACAAAAATGATGCGGTCCGCATGCCTTCAGCTGGCCCAAAGAGTACTCTCTGAATCTCCTCTCTATGGCTGCACTGCTGGCCTTTTTGCCCTATTTTGATTCGTGTTCACTTTTGACTCCTTTATGAGTTTATTTTGACTTCATTGTCTTGTTTCCCAATATTCCTGCAAGTAAGCACATTTCGTTAGTTTTTGGGAATACCTTTAAGCATGTTTGAGCTAAAACGCAAGTAAAATAGAGCAAATAAGAGGTCAAAATCCCTACTTATCAATTCCCTCAAACATAAGCTTTTGCTTGTCCGCAAGCAAATAAGCAATTCCCACCTTCACTAGAAAAAGAGATATTTCAACTAGCCTAAGGTGAATCAATTACACGTCAATTGGGACCAACAATTACCCACAACACATATGAATTATCAACAACACAATGATTTGACTTTTTGAGTACAATAGTTCTAGTATGACACTAGAGCATCAAGAGTTGACTCTATTCATCAAGGAAGCTCGCTCTTTCACGTAGGTCATTGCGGATCCCAAGCTCCTCCTCCTCTACTCTCCATTAGCAAATCTCACTTTAGACTGCAACACTTGAAGCAAAGATTGTGAAAAGTTCGCTCATCTCTCTCAAAAGAACGTCACAAGTCCGGCTTTAAGTACCATAAGATTACCCCTTATGTAAATCACCACTAATGTAAGCTCACTCAACTTGAAATTATGTAGGGCTTTTGCGGGATATAATGAAGACTTTTGGACCAAGGTAGGACTTGTTGAAAATATAATGGTTTCATATTTCCTTAAGCACTCCATATTCTCTTTTTGGCTCATACTTTCTCGACTCTTTGAGTCATTTTCTTCCTCCTCGGGGGAACTAGAGAGACGTAATGTCACTCTTTCTTGATCATGACATTCATTTTTCTCCTTTTCTATTTACTTCAGCCTTTCATCCTTATTTTCTTTTGAATTCCCTTCAACTTTTCACTTTATTCACTTTCTTTTGGTATTTTTCTTTTTATTCTTTCTTTCTTTTCTTTGCCTTCCCTTTTCTTCATTTCTTTCTCTTCTTTGTACCTTTTATCACTTCAAACTCCTCGTCTCTCTTCCAAACTTATGTTTTTGCCAATTGTTTCTCACGAATGCTAAGGAAAGATTAGGTTCCAAAAGAGGGTTATTACAAAACGGATAAAGGCTTGTAACGTGGTTATTAAAAGAAAAAGGGCTTAGGCTTGAAGGGGTTAACTAGGGATATCACATTGTTAGGCTATGGAAAATTTCAAATTGGATCAAGGAGAGCCTACAATCATTTGTCAAGCCAAGCTACACTTAGAATTTTGCCTAGAAAAATATTTGGGGCAAGTTCTAGACCTTTAGCACGGGTACTTGGACTTGCAACTAAACATCTCACCTCTCACGCTTCTGGATCGCTAAGGAGTCGAGGGCTCACAACAACCCTAGCTAAGATTGAGAATCACAAATGGCTCGACTGAACCATTCGATGACTGTTTAAATAAACACAAGAGTCAAAAGGTCACAACTAGAACTATTTTCTACCAACATCTTGTTTTTAACCATACAATCATAGGTAAATGTGTTGATACCAACTGAAGCATGCTTGAAACCCTTTTATTCATTACTACTATATTTGCCTAAACATAAAAGAAAACGAGCTCAATCCCTTAAGAAGGTTGTCATGCCATCCATCGTTGGGAAGAGCCACCCGGTTCACACAAAATCTATATTTGGAAAGAAAACCGAAGGCTTATTGTTCACACAAAACGACAGAGAACGTAACAAATCAAAAAGAAGCTACTAAAGTAGATAAGAAGTTATACTACTAAGAAGGACAAAGTAAAGAAGCTACAAAATA